CCTTGCAGGGCACCGCCCTGGGGAGGGGTCTCTGAATGAGGCCGCGCCCTCCGCTGGCGGCTGGGGGTTGGGTTGTGGTGTCGGGCCAGCTGAGCCCCAGACACTCAGTGCCGCCTTGTCCCCGGCTGTTCTGACCCCTCCCCATCTTTCTTCCTCTCCTGTGTCTGTCCCTTTGTCCCTTTATCTGTCTATCTGTCTTATTTCCTTCACAGGTGCAGACCCCTGACAAGTCAGTGAGCCCCCTCTGCCTGTCCCTCTCTTCTTCCTTTTGGCATTCTGGGTGGCGGCCCCTCCCCACCCTGGCTGCCCTCCTCTCCACTTCACCCACCTGTCCTCTCACCCACCCGCCCAGCAGGGCTCCTGGCCTCACCCTTACCCACTCCCTCCCATCACTGTAACCCAAACCCACATACACCAAATCCTGGGAGGGGCTGCCCCCACTGCCCACCCCCAGTGTGGGGTTCTGAGCCACACCCTCCCCACAGACAGCCGCTCCGACCGCTGGTCCCAGACGCCAGCAAGCAGCGGCTGATGGAGAACACAGAGGACTGGCGGCCACGGCCAGGGACAGGCCAGTCGCGTTCCTTTCGCATCCTTGCCCACCTCACAGGCACCGAGTTCAGTAAGTGCCAGCCCAGGGCAGGGGGTACTCTCCTGGCCCCCAGCCCAGGCGTGAGCCCTGACCCTCTGTCTCTCTTGGTCAATGCCTGCCTCTGCCCTCTCAGTGCAAGACCCGGATGAGGAGCACCTGAAAAAATCAAGGTACAGGGATGGGCATGAGTCCCTCTCCCACCTCCTGCCTCTTCCATTCCAGCTACTGCCCTATGTCTACTCCTGAGGCTCCCAGCTGGGGCTCTCCATTCTCCTTCCTTTCTTCCCTCCCTCCTTCCTTCCTTCATTCCTTCCTTCTTTCCCTCCCTCCTTCCTTCCCTCCTCCCTCCCTGCCTCCCTTCCATCTCTCCTTCCTTCCACTTCTTCCTCCCTCTCTCTCTGCCCCTCAGGGAAAAGTATGTCCTGGAGCTGCAGAGCCCACGCTACACCCGCCTCCGGGACTGGCACCACCAGCGCTCTGCCCACGTGCTCAACGTGCAGTCGTAGCCCGGCCCTCTCCAGCCGGCTGCCCTCTCTGCCTCCCTCTTTCTGTTCCTCCTGCCCAGGGCACCCCCTTAGTGCCTCCAGCTTCTGCCTACCTCACCCCCCACTTTCCTGCCCCTGGCCTGAGCCTCCTGCTGGCCTGGCTCTGGCCGCACAACTGGGTTCATCTGACACTGCCTTCCCTCTTTGCCCTATGGTACTGCTGTCTGCCAGGTCTGTGCTGCCTTGGGCCTGGAAATAAACATTCTCAGCCCTGCTTGCTCTGCCTCTGTTTTCTATCTTTGTGCACCTGGTTTGCATTTGGGGTGTGGGGGTGTTTCGTGGTTTGGACTCAGTTTGGGCCCTGCCGTCCTCGTTTTCAGTGGGAAGGGGGTACCTGGCAAAGGGGCCCTGCCCTGCCATCACAGATGGCTTCCTGGCATGAGGGGAGCCCCAAGAGCTGCCTCAGAAGCGGGAGCCTTGCTCCATCTCCCAGCTATAGACAACATACCAGCTACCTGGACGTTGCTATGAGAAGCTGCCCTTCCCATCCCTACCCCAGTGGGACCTGGAGTCCAGCTCAGCAGTTTCCATGCCCCCAGGCATCTCCCGTGGGGCCAGCAGGACCCAGGTTGGGGGGTGGGGCCATGCCAGGAAGCTCAGCCATGCAGGGCCTTGAATGGCAGATCTTGCAGCCAGGTGCCCAGGACAGAAGCCCCAGCCCCAGCCTCATCTACACCCCAGGAGCCCTGGCCTGGTGAGAGGGAGTGGGCTTGGGCCTGGGCAAGGGTGGGCAGCCTCCAGGGCATGGGGGTGGCGGGCTTCTCTCAGCTGCCTGGGGCTCCACCCCCTGTCCTTTGGGGTCCGTGGGCACCCCTTTAGAGCCACTTTCCCTGGCCCCGGCAGGCCCTACCACCCCCAGTCCCACCAGCCGCCCGCCCTGGGCTGTGGACCCTGCGTTTGCCGAGCGCTATGCCCCGGACAAAACGAGCACAGTGCTGACCCGGCACAGCCAGCCGGCCACGCCCACGCCGCTGCAGAACCGCACCTCCATCGTGCAGGCAGCTGCCGGAGGGGTACCAGGAGGGGGCAGCAACAACGGCAAGACTCCTGTGTGTCACCAGTGCCACAAGGTCATCCGGTGGGTGTCCTGTTCCCGTCCAACCCTGGCTTTCCCATCCTGCAGCCCAACCCCACCTGTCTGCCCACCCATCTTGCCTCAGCTGCGACTGGGGGGAATAAGGATTCAGTTCCCAGCTGGAGTAGGAGTCGGGACCTGAGCTGGGTCCTCAGATTCTTAATCCCACGCTACCTACCCCAGCCTACCCACAACACTTGCTAGCAGCATCTGCCCTGGCGAAACAGCCAAAGGGCCAACCATAGGCTGAAGCTGCACCCCTACCTTTGCTGTTCTCTGGGCCAAGAGGGGCCTGCCCCTTCCCAGTGCCTCTGCCCCCACCTCCTGCTCTCTGTCTCTCTCTGCTCTCAGAGCATACAGGCCTAGAGCCCCTCCCTCTGTGCACTGCCCCGTGGGGCCAAGCAGCATCAAACACCCCCCAGCATCAGCATGCTGGATTCTAGAGCCTTCCTAGTCCTCAGCCCTGGCCTGCTCCTGACTCTGTCGCCCTTTTTTTCTTTTCCTTTTTTTTGAGATGGAGTCTCACTCTGTCGCCCAGGTTGGCATGCAGTGGCACAATCTCGGCTCACTGCAACCTCTGCCTCCCGGGTTCAAGAGATTCTCCTGCCTCAGCCTCCTGAGTAGCTGGGATTACAGGCGCAGGCCACCACGCCTGGCTAATTTTGTATTTTCAGTAGAGACGGGGTTTCACCATGTTGGCCAGACTGGTCTCGAACTCCTGACCTCAGGTGATCTCAGGCCTGCCTCAGCCTCCCAAAGTGCTGGGATTACAGGTGTGAGCCACCATGCCCAACCAACTCTATCAGCTCTTGCCAGGTAGATCAGGCAGGCCAGCAGGATAGGATGGCCCCAGGTTTGCCCAGGGGCTCCTCAGCCTTCATGAGGCTCCAGTCGTCAGCCCTTCCTCCCGGGGTCCTCCCTGCTCTAAAACTGCCTCTCCTGTCACCAGCAGTTCAGTGTGACGGGCTGGCTCTGCAAGCTTCATGGCTGTCATGGTCACTTCCCAAGCCTGTCTTCTACCCTATGTGGAAAATGGGGAGAATGAACTCCTCCCTCCCGAGGCTTCCCGGTGGGTGGTCAGTCAGCCTGAAGGGGACCAAGACCTCCACCTCCTCTGCATGCGCTCCCTCTCACTGCCCTTGCCTCCCGGCAGGGGCCGCTACCTGGTGGCACTGGGCCACGCGTACCACCCCGAGGAGTTTGTTTGTAGCCAGTGTGGGAAGGTCCTGGAAGAGGGCGGCTTCTTCGAGGAGAAGGGCGCCATCTTCTGCCCGCCATGCTATGACGTGCGCTACGCACCCAGCTGTGCCAAATGCAAGAAGAAGATTACAGGCGTGAGTAGGGCTGGCTGGCGGGGAGGCGGGCCCAAGCCTGTCAGTGGGAAGGAGGGCTGCTGGGCAACCCTCAGGCTGGGGGTCTCCCCGAGTGAGCCCTCCGGGTCCTTACCAGCCTATATAGGCTGCTGTACTGGCCTCACCCTGCATTAGTCAGGATGCTCTTAACAAATGGCCATGTTCCTGCTCAGAAGCCGCCCAAGGCTGCAAAGAGCATGAGGACCAAGCCAGGAGAAGCTCTGGGCCCTCATGACTCCTACTTTGGGCTCTCCCTGCCCTAGTGAAACGGTAGAAGGGCCAGCTTTACATGCTGAAGCTGCTCTGTCTCATGCTTCCTCCTCATTTCTGGATCCAGAGCCAGGGCTGCCAGGGGTAGCCAGAGAGCTCTGTGATAGTGATGTTCATATCAGTGAGGTTTTACCTTGATCACAAGCAGTGGGAAACTCAAAATAATGGTAGATTATTCTTCGCCTAAAAACATCTAGGGGTGGGTGGTCTGGGACTGGTCTGGTGGACCCAGGCTCCACCTTGTTGCTTGACTGTTCACAGCACCTGCTTACTTACCACTCATAGAGAAAGATACTTCAGCCTCTGCCAAAATGCCCACCTCCCAGCCAGCAGGAAGTTGGAAGGGGAAGAAGGGGGACAGAGCTCCATGGAGTCCATCCTTAGAGGATGCTGCCACCTGACCCTTTGCTTCCGTCCCATTGGTCAGAACTCAGTCACATGACCACACCCAGTGGCAAGGGAGGCTGGGAAATACGGTCTTTATTTTAGTTACCCATGTGTCCAGCAAAATTGGGGGTTCCATCAGTAGGCAAGAAGGGGAGAATGGCTGGGTGCAGTGGTTCACGCCTGTCATCCCAGCACTTTGGGAGGCCGAGGCGGGTGGATCACGAGGTCAGGAGATCGAGACCATCCTGGCTAACACGGTGAAACCCCGTCTCTACTAAAAATACAAAAAATTAGCCAGGCGTGCTGGCGGGCGCCTGTAGTCCCAGCTACTCAGGAGGCTGAGGCAGGAGAATGGCGTGAACCCGGGAGGCGGAGCTTGCAGTGAGCCAAGATTGCACCACTGCACTCCAGCCTGGGCGACAGAGCGAGACTCTGTCTGAAAAGAAAAAAAAAGAAAGAGAAATCTGCCTCCCAGCCTTGGGCTCCCGCCCTACCAGCCCACACCCCTGGTAAAGCCCTGTCTATGCCCAAGTTCCTTCACTGTGACCTTGTCTGCTCCTATACAACAAGCAACACCAGACAGTGAGAAGAGCCAGCCAGACACGGGCACAAAATCTGTTTCTGTGATCTATTGGCTGTGTGAGCAGGGGATATAGTTGCTTTCTCCGGGCCTCACTAAAGAGAAGGGTGGCACTGTGCTAGGGCCAGCACAGTTGCAAGGTAGATGTAAGATGGGGTACAGGTGTTGTGGAGGGCAGAAATGCGCCATCTGAAAGCTACGTGTCACCCACACGTAACGTCTTGTTTGGCCTCCACTGTTTCATTTTAAAATCAGTAGCCAACAATTTAAAATCAGAAGATTTGCCTGATGCAGTGGCTCATGCCTGTAATCCCAGCACTTTGGGATGCCAAGGTGGGAGGATTGCTTGAGCCCAGGAGTTCAAGACCAGTATGGACCCCTGTTTCTACAAAAAAAAAATTAGAAAATTAGCCAAGTGTGGTGGTGTGCACCTGTGGTCCCAGCTACTTGGGAGGCAGAGTGAAAGTGAAATCTCCTGCTTTTTATTTCTTTATGTATAACGATAGGGTCTTGCTCTGTTGCCCAGGCATGATCACTGCTCACTGCAGCCTTGATCTCCTGGGCTCAGAGAATCCTCCCATCTCAACCTCCCAAATAGCTAGGACTAGAGATGCCCACCAGCATGCTCAGCAGATTTTTAAATATTTTTATAGAGATGAGGTTTTGCTATGTTGCCCAGGCTGGTCTTGAACTCCTGGCCTCGAGCAATCCTCCTACCCTGACCTCCCAAAGCACTGGGATTACAGACATGAACCACTGTGCCCAGCAGATTTCACTTGAACACCTAGATTTCAGCCTGAGCCAGGCAGGCATTCCTGAATGAACCAGTAGCACCGTTGCCAGGAGAAGAGGTGCTCCTCCGTATGACACAGTCCCCACTTGACCCTTGCAGGGATTGGATCTGGGATCCCTGGATTTAAACTCAGGGCCATCCTCATAACAGCCTCACAAGGCTGGGATTAGCTTCCCAGTTCACAAGGGAAGAAACCAAGACTTGAGAAGGTCAAGGTCTGGCTACACCCACAGATCTCGGACCCTCATGCCGCCTTGAGGCCCCATGCTGCCCTCTGCCTGCTCCAGAGGTGAATACTCCTGGCCCTGGCTGGCCCCGAGGCTCCTAGCGAACAGCCCAGCCCAGGGAGAGCTCAGCACCTTGTGCCTCTGGCCCCTCCCACCTCCTGCAGAGCCTAGTCAATTCACCCACAAAGGGCCAGGCACTGTGGGGCTAGATCAGCTAACAAAACAGTTGATGCTTCATGCCCTTCTGGGCCTTACGTTTTGGCTGGAAGAAGAGGGGAGAGGCAGACAGTAAGCAATAAGCGCAATAAGTACATTGCCTGGAAGTAATGTTAGATCACATTATGGAAAACAGGAAAGAGTAGAGCAAGAAGCGCTTGGGCGTGGTGTGGGGAAGGCAGCTGGCTGCTACTTCTGTGGTCAGGGTGGGACCTCGTGGAGAAGACTGCATTTGAGCGGAAACTTGAAGGGGTTGAGAGGTGAGCCTTGAGATATCCGGGGCAGAGCAGTCCAGGCAGAGGGGACAGCCAGTGTCAAGCCCAGGACAGGAGCGTGCCGGGTGTGCCAATTTCAGGCAAGAGGCCAGTGTGTGGAGGCAAGGTGAGAACGCAAAGGAGAGCAGTGGGGGAGACGGGTGGGAACGAGGTCAGACCTGCTGGCCTCCAGCGTCTGCATGGGGCTTGGTTCTTGCTGGGAGAAGTGGGAAGCGGTAAGGGGTTTCATGCAGGGGGATACAGCCTGTCTCGGGTTGCAGGGGTTGCAGGGGCCTGCTGCGGCAGCTGGGATCAGAGGGAGGAGCTGTAGGCCAGTTGTGTGTGATCCCAGGGGCCAGATCGCTGTGGCTCACCTCGCATCAGGGAGGCTGTGAGCAGCACTCAGCATCTGGATATGCCTTGGGGGTGGGCCCCACTGGATTTCCTGGGGGACCTGGTGTGGGGTGTGGGAGGAGGGTGTGTTTGGCTGCAGCAAACGGGAGAATGGAGTTGCCATCCGTGTTACGGGGATGCCTGTGGGAGGAGAGGTTTGGGGTGAGGGGATCAGGAACTGAGTACTGGACATGGCAGGTCTGAAGGCGCAGTGGACGTCCACTCAGAGACCTTGGAGTTGGAGATGGAGGCATGGGAGTCCTGAACGGTTAGATGTAGTGTTTACTATGAGAAGGAACAGGGCCCGCGGCCAGCTGCCCTGTGTTCCCGTGACCCAGGGGAGGGCGGGAGGGGCCTGAGCCTGCCGAGTGACTGGCACCTCCTTCCAGGAGATCATGCATGCCCTGAAGATGACCTGGCACGTGCACTGCTTCACCTGTGCCGCCTGCAAGACGCCCATCCGGAACAGGGCCTTCTACATGGAGGAGGGCGTGCCCTACTGCGAGCGAGGTACCTGCTGGCCAGTGAGGGTGAGGAGGGATGGTGCATGGGGCAGGCATGAATCCAGGTCCCCTTCCTCTCTGCTCCCATCCTCAGACTATGAGAAGATGTTTGGCACGAAATGCCATGGCTGTGACTTCAAGATCGACGCTGGGGACCGCTTCCTGGAGGCGCTGGGCTTCAGCTGGCATGACACCTGCTTCGTCTGTGCGGTGAGAGCCCCGAGCCTTGGCCTCAGCCCCAAGTCCACCAGCCCTCTGTTCGTTGCCTGGGGGATGCAGGAGAAGCTGGGAAGGGGCCTCTACTGCTGCCCCCAACCCCATGTGACTGGGCCTTTGCTGTCCTTAGATATGTCAGATCAACCTGGAAGGAAAGACCTTCTACTCCAAGAAGGACAGGCCCCTCTGCAAGAGCCATGCCTTCTCCCACGTGTGAGCCCCTCCTGCCCACAGCTGCCGCGGCGGCCCTGGAGCCATGGCCCGGCGTTTCTGGGTAGGGCTGGCAATGGTTACCTTAACCCTGGCTCCTGGCCCGAGCCTGGGGTTCCCCGGCCCTGCCCCACCCGCCTTATCCTCCCACCCCACTCCCTCCACCACCACAGCACACCGGTGCTGGCCACACCGGCCCCCTTTCACCTCCAGTGCCACAATAAACCTGTGCCCAGCTGTGTCTTGTGTGCCGTTCCCCTGTGCACCCGGAGGGGTAGAACTTGAGTCACGTGGCAGGGTGGAGAGTAAGAGGGATTTCTTGGGCTGGCCATCTTGGTGGCCCTCGTGATGTGGACGTGGCAGGCTCATGGTTAGTGGAGGAGGTATAGGCGGGACCCCATGTGCCAGGCCTGGTGCCCACAGACATGAGGGACGCCACTGGTCTGGCCTGGCTTGGAGGTTAGAGAAGGGTAGTTAGGATGGGCGTGGTGGATCACGCCTGTAATCCCAGCACTTTGGGAGGCCAAGGCGGGCAGATCACTTGAGGTCAGGAGTTTGAGACCACTCTGGCTGACATGGAGAAACGACGTCTCTGGTAAAAATACAAAAATTAGCTGAATGTGGTGGGGCATGCCTGTAATCCCAGCTACTCAGGAGGCTAAGGTGGGAAAATTGATTGAACCCGGGAGGTGGAGAGTGCAGTGAGCTGAGATCATACCGCTGGGCTCGAGCCCGGGTGGCAGAGTGAGACCCTGTCTCAAAAAAAAAAAAAACACACAGAAGGGTAGTCGTAGTTGGGGGTGGATCTGCAGAGATACGGGGTGGAAAACAGCAATGGCCACAGCAAAGGCCTAGAGGGGCCAACTGCCGTCCAAACAGAAGAAGATGGGACTGGAGAGGGTAGCCTTTAGGTCCTGGGAGGCCACAAGTGCCAGGCTGTAGAGCTGGGGCTGTCTCTTGAGGTCAGGGCAGGGCACGGCACAGCAGAGTTTGAAATAGATTTGTGTTGTTTTCTAGAAAGAGGCCCCAGGACACTGAGCGGGTACAGGAGGGAGGCTCGGAGGAAGAGTTGCAGCAGTGGCCTAGGGGCGGGGGCCAGGCAAGGGAGGGGCAGAGGGTAATATGGCAGAGATGGGACCTAGTGACAGGTCCAGGGGATGAGGGATGGGGAAGGACAGCAGCTTTGCCAGGCATCTAGCCTATACCAGACACGCTCACGTCTCCCGTGAACCTCCTAGCAACCTTGCACCATGTCTGTGATCACCTATTTCATTTTTTCTTTTTCATTTTCATTTTTTTGTTGTTGTTGTTTCTAAGAGACAGAATCTTCCTAGGTTGCCCAGGCTGGTTTCAAACTCCTGGGCTCGAGCAATTCTTCCTCCTCAGCCCCAAAGTGCTGGCATTACAGGTGTGAGCCACCATGCCTGGCCCAATTATTTTCTACATGAGGCACAGAAAGGTTGGGAGACTTGACCAGGGTCACGCTGTCATTGAGCTATGAGCCAGACTAAAATCCAGGCCTGAAGCTGGGTGCGCTGTCCCGGGACTGGCTGGCGCTGAGCACCATTTGCCAGCGAGCATCTCTCTGGGATGCTGACTTCTGCCCGGTACCTGGAGGACTGTAGGCCTTGGTGGTGGCACTGTCACTCCGGGGCTTCCTGCCTCCCACTGATGCTCTCACCACCCTAAAGGGGCTGTCATCTCTCCTGTCCCAAGCCTGGACTGGAAAGACTGAAGAGAAGCCTTAAGTAGGCCAGGACAACTCAGTGTGCCATGGCTGCTCGTCCTTCAGGGGTCCCTGGTATGAGGACCTACAACACATCTGTAAGTCTTCTCAACAGGCCCTTGGCCCAGTCCCCTTTAAGAGACAAGAAGGGCTGGGCAGGGTGACTCACACCTCTAATCCCAGCACTTTGGAAGGCTGAGTCTGGAGAAGGGATCCAGCCTAGGAGTTCAGGACCACCCTGGGCAACATGGTGAGACATGTTTTGTTTTGTTTTCTTGAGATGGAGCCTTGCTCTGTCACCCAGGCTGGAGTGCAGTGGTGCAATCTTGGCTCACTGCAACCTCCGCCTCCCGGGTTCAAGCGATTCCCCTGCCTCAGCCTCCCAAGTAGCTAGGACTACAGGTGTGCACCACCACGCCCAGCTAATTTTTTTTGTATGTTAGTAGAGACAAGGTTTCACCATGTTAGCCAGGATGGTCTTGATCTCCTGACCTTGTGATCCGCCCGCCTCGGCCTCCCAAAGTGCTGGGATTACAGGTGTGAACCACTGCGCCCGGCCTGGCGAGACCCAGTTTATCTAAAAAATATTTAAAAATTAGAGGCCAGGGCCGGGCACAGTGGCTCATGCCTGTAATCCCAACACTTTGGGAGGTCAAGGCAGATGGATCGCCTGAGGTCAGGAGTTCCAGACCAGACTGGCCAACATGGTAAAGCCCCGTCTCTACTAAAAATACAAAAATTAGCCAGGCCTCAGCTACTCAGGAGGCTGAGGCAGGAGAATCGCTTAAACCCAGGAGGCTGAGGTTGCAGTGAGTTGAGACTGTGCCACTGCACTCCAGCCTGGGCAACAGAGTGAGACTGTCTCAAAAAAAACAAAACAAAAACAAATACACACACACACACACACACACACACACACACACATTAGAGGCCAGGCGTGGTAGCTCATGCCTGTAATCCCAGCACTTTGGGAGGCCAAGGTGGGCAGATCACCTGAGGTCGGTAGTTTGAGACCAGCCTGGCCAACACGGTGAAACCCTGTCTCTACTAAAAATACAAAAATTAGCCAGGTGTGGTGGTGCATGCCTGTAATCCCAGCCACTCAAAAGGCTGAGGCAGGAGAATCCCTGGAACCCAGGAGACAGGTTGCAGTGAGCCAAGACTGCACCATTACACTCCAGCCTGGGCAACAGAGCAAGACTGTCTCAAAAAAAAAAAATCAGCTTGGCCTAATGGTGCATTCTTGCAGTCCCAGCTACTTGGGAAGCTGAGGTGGGAGGGTCACTTGAGCCCAGGAGGTTGAGGCAGCAGTAAGCTGCACTCCAGCCTGAGCAACAAAGCGAGACCCTGTCTCTAAAAAAAAAAAAAGGGAGAGAGAGACGAGAAGGGTCTCTGCTGTGTTTTCTCTTGGAACCCTGGAGAATGAGTGCAAAGCTTCGTGTGTTATTTTCATGTCTTGTTATTTTCTGCCCGCCTCAGCCTCCCAAAGTCCTGGGATTACAGGCGTGAGCCACTGCGCCCGGCCTCGTCTTATTTTCATGTCTTGCCGGAGTGCCTGTATGTCAGTGCCTGGCGTATAGTGGATGCTCAGTAAGTGTTTGTTGAACGAGGTGCCTATGGGACATTTAGGAGACACAGTCAGGAAACAGCTGAAGATTCAAGTCTGGATTCACGTCCGCTTCAATTCGGGAATGAATTTGAGACAGGCTCAGGGCAGTCAACATACATGCTGGTCACTGCAGCCTAGGGAGAGCCGGGAGCGGCGCCCACACAGGGAGCATCCAGAGTCAAGCAGGTGGGATGTGGTTTTCTTTCGACCTGGACGTCCTTCGCATGTTAACCACAGAGTGGCTTTCACTTCCACAAGGAAATGTGCTCTCTCCCAGTTCTCTTGAACTGTGAAGCCCTCAGTCCATCCTCGGTTCCCATGGATACAAGCAAGAAGGGCACAAGGATGGATGGTAACTGTAGCCGGGAGCCCGTCTGGGAACGCCAAGCAGCGCGGCCAGATCTGCCAGTTTATCGACAGCGTCCAGAGGTTCAGATTTGTGTGTGAGATCTGGTGTTTGAATATTGGCAACTACATTCGATTTTTTTTAATCCTATTAGAAAAATAACAAATGTGGGCCAAATCCAGCATGAGGACGGCCAGGGCCCAGCACAGTGAGGAGGTGAGACGCCAGAACGCCAGCATCACAGCACCGGGCAGGGACAGCATGGCCAGGGCGGGAGGACGACGACCTCCAGGGAAGGTGCAGGGAAGCCCAGACAGGCAAGAGCGTGTCAAGAAGCTGCCAACAGTGTCAATCGGGCAGATAAGGCCGAGGAGTCCCTCGTGGCGTTTCACAACAAGGTGACATTTGCCAGATCAGTTTAGCCGAGCTGGGGCGGCTGCCAGGGTTAAAGAGGAACAAGGCGCGAGGGTGGGGAGGATGTGGAAGGAGAGAGTGCAGACAGCTCTTTTAAGAGACTTGGCTGTGGCGGGCCAAGAGGACCGTCAGGCTCAGCTGAGAGACCAGGGTGTGGGTGGCTGGAGGGGCCTGGGAGGCATCTGCTGGAGGATGGTGGTAGAAGATGGGAGAAGTTGGGAGGGGGCTGTAAGGTGAGAGTGGGGTGGAGGGCAGGGGCAAATGCGGAACCGTGGAGCCAGAGCTAGCCTAGCGTGGGGCAGGAGCAGATACCAGGCACCTCCTTGAACTAGCCACCCTCACTCTGTAGGTGTGATGCAATCACATGTCATTTAATCATCATAACACCTTTGAGAACACATTATTAAAGGCATGTTTCAGATGAGGGTACTGAGGCTCAGAGAGGAACAGTGACTTGTACAGAGTCATCCAGGAATGGCCTGGCCTGCCGCTCCAAGGATCAAAGGCCAGAGTGTTCCCTGCTGACCCGCCAGCACTCCCCAGCTCCTGTCATGCGTCCCCCATCACCTGGGCTCCCATCCAGACTTTGCCACTCCATCAGCTGTGTGCCTCTGGGCAAGACACTGCCCCACTTTAAGCCTTGGTTTTCCCATCTGTAAAGTAATAGCATCTGGGAGCAGTGGCTTACACCTGTAATCCCAGCACTTTGGAAGGCTGAGACGGGTGGATCACCTGAGGTCAGGAGTTCAAGACCAGCCTGGCCAACGTGGTGAAACCTCATCTCTACTAAAAATACAAAAATTAGCCAGGCGTGGTGACAGGCACTTATAATCCCAGCTACTCAGGAGTCTGAGGCAGGAGAATTGCTTGAACCCAGGAGGCAGAGGTTGTGGTGAGCCGAGATTGCGCCACTGCACTCCAGCCTGGGTGACAACAGTGAGACTCTGTCTCAAAAAAATAATAATAATAGCAACCACAAGCTGCAAAGATCACAGTGTTCCGAAGCTGGGGTGCAAGGCTGTGCGGGTGGAGGCCATGGGGACTGGGAAGTGAATGTCCTCGTGCCAGGCAGGGAAGGCCATTAGCACCCTTGGAGGGGGCAGAGACCATGGCAGGGGGCTGAGTGGGCAACTGGAGAGGCAGCAGGCAAGGGAGGGGCTTTTCCCAGCTCAGAATGGCTTGAGCTCATTTGGATCAGCAGGGAGGGAGGCGGTGGAGGGCGAGGGACTGTTTTGCCAGAGTATGGAGGCAGGCACTCATGATTCTGCTACTGCCTCTTCAGTGCGGGGCCCCACATGGCCTTGGTACACACATAAGGTACACGCCATCCTCAGATTCTCCACGCGGCCCTGTTATAGGAAGGGAGCTGAGGCCCTGGGCTAAAGGGCTGGCCGCAGGTCAACCTTTGAACTTGAGTCTGCCTAAATCCAAAGCTGACCCTGAGAGTGGAAGAAGAACCCCTCCCAACTGAGGCCTTAAAGGAAGGAGGGGAGTGGACCAGGGTTCTGGGGCTCATGGTGGAACAAGAACAAGCTCGCTGACTGACAGCCTGGGGGAACTCCGAAAACCAGCACCAGCCGCTTGGGAGATTGTGCAGGGGGAGCCACTTCCGAGCCAGTAAGGACCCCAGGACCAGCCTGGCCTCTCCTGCTCAGGTTTTGGGGGTACTGGAAGATCAACTCAGATTTCACTCATGTCTCTTGCCACTGACAGAATGACCACTACTTGGGTACCAGGCAGATTAGGTAGGTCTCTCGGCTGCAATTCAAGCTAGTTTAAGCAAAAATGGGAATAACTGAACTGAAAAAGTGAATGGTTTCAAATCTGGCTGGATCCAGGTACCCATGACGGCGACCGGGACCCTCTCTCGTGCTCTCCGTCTCTCCGCTCTGCTGTTCTCGATGCTGGCTTCATTCTCAGAAGGCCCTCCCCACTACTGGCAAGGATGGCCCCCAGCAGCTCCAGACCCATACCGGGCCAGCTCAGCAGCCCCAGTGGACACAGGGAGCCTTTCTTTTCTTTTCTCTCTCTCTTTTTTTTTTTTTTGAGATGGCGTCTCACCCTGTGGCCCCGGCTAGAGTGCAGTGGTGTGATCTCAGCTCACTGCAACCTCCGCCTCCCGGATTCAAGCACTTCTCCTGCCTCAGCCTCCTGAGTAGCTGGGACTACAGGCGTGTGCCACCATACCCAGCTAATTTTTGTATTTTTAGCAGAGACGAGGTTTCACCATGTTGGCCAGGATGGTCTTGATCTCTTGACCTCGTGATCTGCTCGCCTCGGCCTCCCAAAGTGGTGTGATTACAAGCGTGAGCCACCGTGCTCAGCAAGGGAGGCTTTCTTTTTTGTTGTTGTTTTGTTTTTGAGACAGAGTCTCGCTCTGTCTCCCAGGCTGGAGTGCAGTAGTGCAATCCTGGCTCACTGCAAGCTCCGCCTCCTGGGTCACGCCATTCTCCTGCCTCAGCCTCCTGAGTAGCTGGGACTACAGGCGCCCGCCACCACACCCAGCCAATTTTGTTTTTGTATTTTTAATAGAGATGGGGTTTCACCGTGTTAGCCAGGATGGTCTCAAACTCCTGACCTCGTGATCCGCCCACCTCGGCCTCCCAAAGTGTTGGGATTACAGGCGTGTAAGAAAGGCCGCAAGGGAGCCTTTCTTAATGGCGCCAGCGAAAGTCCCAGGGACAATGCCCATTGGACTAACTTGGGTCATGTGTCTGTCTCTGAAGTAGTCACTGGGTCTGACCCTTCCTGGCTTGGATGACATACTCCGGTTTAGAGCTGAAACTGGAAAATCTGCCAGAAAATGGGATGTGGAGCAGGCCTGGCAGGGATGTCCACGGCACTTCCTCCCCTCATGCCCAGGGCCCTGCCCCTGACTCCATTCCCAGACCTCAGAGCTGGAGCATCTGGAACTTCTGACCAGACTCCAGCCCACTTCACCCCTGCATGCAGAAATAGGGATGCTACAAGGGGAAGTGGGGAGAGTATGTGGGGTGCTGAAATGACCTGGGACAGACCTGGGTTCCCATTCAGACTTTGCCACTCACCAGCTGTGTGTCTCCGGGCAAGTCACTGACTCTCTCTGGGCGTCGGTTTTCCCACCTGTAAAATAATAATAATAATAATAACAACCAACACATTGACAGCACCTACTATGTACTGTTCCCATTTTAATCACTTTCTAGATACTTTTTGAAAATCCTCAAACTGACCCTAGGAGGTAGGTACCATCACTATCATCCCCAGATTATAGTTGAAGATGAGTGATTCAAGATAGGTCAGGCAGCAAGCTCAAGGTCACACCATTAGCAATAGACTCCTCAGGAGCAGAGCTGATGTGAATGAGCGTGGCTGGCCCGGTGCCAGGGGCAGATACCTGGGAAGAGCCATGAGCTTTGTGATGATCAAGGGGCAATCTGAATGTGTGCTTGGTGGGATCTTGCAGAGGTTGGAAGAGGCCAGAGAAGACTCCACCAGCTCTTGCTGAAAAAGTCTTGCAGCCTCTCCTCAGCCCTAAAACCTTCCCTGAGAGGTGTGGGGGAGCACAGAACAGGAAGGTGGGGGTGGAGGGAGGAGGGCGGGGCTATGAGGAGGAAGGGAGGGGGTTCTCCTTTCTAAGCCTCCATCCAGGCCCATTTTATTCTCACAACAGGTTATCAAAAGGAAACTCAGAGAGGGGAAGTGTTTCAGCCAAGGTCACACAGCAAAGGCCCAGTTTCTGGATCTCAGTCCTCCCTTGTCTGGTCTTTTCCACTCTGGGGATCCAGAAGTCATTGAAGTCATTGGCCCAGCCTCCCAGTGTGTGTGTGGGGAGCTCATGCTCTGGGGGTGGGAGAGACCGACCTGTCAGCGACTTGAAGGGTGATCAGTTTGGGGGTGGCAGACACGAAGTCCTGGTGGCAGGAACCCACCAGCCGCCCACCCACCAAGGCTGAGTGTGTGGGCTTCAGGGGCAATGGCAGCTGAAAGGAGGCAGGTTCTCAGAGAACAGTGACCAGTGGCCACCCACGCCCCCAGTCAGGGCAACTGAGAACTATGGGTCCACTGAATTTGGCAAGTCAGGGGTCACTGGTGACCTTGGCCAGAGCAGTGCCAGAGAAAATGCAGGGAGGAGGAGACAGAGGACAGATGTGTCTGCATCCTATAGAAATGAGGGGATGGAGATAACATGGAAGGGTGATGGGTACGGAGACCAGAGGAGTGGGCTCTGGGGCATGCCAGCAGGGAACACCCTTGCTTCCCTGAAAATAGGGAAAACTGAGTGCAGGGTGTATGGGAACTCTCTATACTATCTTTGTAACTTTTCTGTAAATCTAACACTGTTCTAAAATAGAAAGTTTATTTAAAAATGTTGATGGCAAGAGGTGAGAGTGGGCGTGGCTGGAGAGTTTGTAGGTGGCTGGTGGGGAGGCAGGAATTTGAGGAAGGAAGAGCTTAGATGCATTTAGGGCTTCTGTTTTTTGGATGCAAAATTGAGTGTGCAGGAGGCTGGGGGGTGGGGGGACGGGCGGGGGGTTGGTGAGGAGCTATGAGCTAGGACAAGTCAAAGGAAGGTGGAAGAGGCTGAGGCCACAGATGCTCATGGCCAGCCATCTGTCTGCCCCTCCCCGGCTCCCGCCTCCCCAGAATTCTGCTCTCATGCCTCAGGGTGGGGGATGGCTGAAGCCCTGTCCCCCATGGCTCTCCCCACTTCCCTTTCCCACCTTGTGTCACCCACTCCCTTAGGGATCCCCACTGCATGCCAACCACACCTACTGGCCAGTTGGTCCAGGGCACAGGGCCTGGGTCTCTCCCTGCCTGGGCCTCACTCTAGTAGGGGCCATGGAGAAACTGCCACGGCCAGTGGTCCCTAGACATAGTGGGCACTGACTTCCCAAGGCAGGGCCTGTGAACATTTTGAGTTTTAAGAGGGTTCTCCCAACTCCGGAGCACCAGGAACCGCTGCCACATAGGCAGCACTGCTCTCCTTCTCTTGGCATAGCCAGTTACCCAATGCAGAACTCGGAGGCCCGGCTAGAACCACCTCCTCCTCCGTGGTGCGGATGGGACCAGGTGAAGTTTGCTCAGGGAGGTCCAGGTTGGAGACTTTGCTGTGGTCCACTGAGCACTGTGGACGGTTTCAGGGTCCTCACCCAGCAAGGAACGGAGTTCTGGGAGGCCCTGGCATGGTGTCCACTCCCTTGCAGGGGACTTTTCTGAGGCCCCCTCCCCTTCTGTGCTTAGAGTTTTAGGAGATAAAGGTGCCAAGAGGCTGGCCCTGAGCGTCCTTGGAGGAGCTCTGCCCTGGGAGTCTGGGGTTAGATGCTGCTTCCGGGACTCTACTTGGGACTTGAGGCTTGGGAGAGAACGCGAAGGATTTCCTAGCTAGCCCCATCTCAGAGGGCACAGGCTTGGAGGGGAGGAGAGGCCTGGAATGGAGGGATAATGAGCCGGGTAGCGGCTGAGAATGGCCTGGAATAACTGGTCATGGAGCCGAGATGGGGGACTGTGGTTGGGAATTGGGAACTGGGATCAGGATGAGACTGGGATGGGCTGGACTGAAGAGGTCGCCGTGAGAAATGTTGGCGGGGGGGAAAGTGCTAAGCATGGAGCTGAAGCTGGGATGGGAAAGGAACTGGGTTGGATTTGAGGGTGGGATGCAGATGGCAGTGGATATGATGGGATAGACTAGGCATGGACCTCTCAGAGAAGGAGACGGGCCAGGGGTGGGCTGGTGTGTGACCTGGCTTGGGATGAAAATGGGTTTAACATGGAGTGGGACGCACCAGGAATGGAGATCAATGAAGCAATGGGTGGGGCGGGACCGGATTGGGACGGG